TATTCTTCAACCTTGTATTTTTTTATATTTTATTTTTCATTCTTTTCGTCTGTTTTTTCGAGTTTAAAAAATGTGAGCTGGCTGGAGCCTTCATCCCTTGTCTATTTCTTACACTAGATACCAGCCGATACCCCCCCCCCCCCCGCTCATAGAGACTGCGTATTACAGTTGATTATAGTTCCTGGGCTCCCTGTGCTGTACCATGTATTTCTTTGGGCTATATGCAAGCTGCTGTGGAACGCCGTTGGAAAGCCGGTGAAAACGGCTAAAGCACAAACGAGGAAACAGCACAAACTCAACTTTAAAGTATCCCTGAGCAACCAAATTTATATATGTTGCACACGCGGGGGGTAAACTTGTTACACTGTTCAGGGATGTCTCAGCAACTGCCGTGTTCTGAGAATTTTCGGTCTTTGTTTTCACTGTGATGGTTGTCAGGCGGTGAAAATACCCGGATGTCCGCCCGAGAGAAATATGTTTTTTGTTCGACATTGGTACGTTTTCTCGCCATTATAATAGTATATTTTAAGGTTTGGAAAGCAGGCTGTGAATATTTATGCTTGGACAACGTTTTTTTAGCGATTTCAAGTTAAATAAATTCAGTCACTGACCGTGGATTTAATAAAATACAGGCACCTGGAATAAATAATCCTGACTATCAAAACATTGCCTCATTAAATATTCATTACATCTTTATTATTCATCGTATTGTCTGTGTTCAATGCCTTCATCATGTGACTATGGATAGGGAGATGATATAATCAGCCTAGTCAGTTCAACAGTCCGACATATCTATATATATACCGAGATAATATTAACACTATTCATCGGAAATATAACTCCGCTGGGCATTGCCATATACAGACCTCAGACAAACTATTAAACAGTTGTTTTGATTTGCAGAGACTTACACATAGATGCGCGTGTTGTGCTCCGATATGTATAAGTCCCCCACCTTATGCCAAATCGTCCTGGGCGCCAAATTTCTTTGAAGATTTTCGTAGTATGTTATTTTCTCAAAACCATCATGTAAAACAAAGTAATAGCTAGTGATTGTAATAACCGGGAACTATCGAGACATACCACTGACGTGTTGAAATAATTGAACGTATTTATATAAATAAATATTTTGAAGTCTTTGGAATCGACAAAACTATATCGAAAATATAGGACCGGATACACAGACGTCCGTATTACACCTTACATTGTTTTACGTTTAAGTGAGGTGAAACGTCTTGGACATAGAACACAGCAAACACACAACCAATTCAACTTTACATACGGGTGGAGGTAATAAGTTGGTTTACCTATTTATTAACTTGAAGATGAATACATGAAATTCGTTTTCCCTGAGACCAATTCTCACGCGTTTCATACTGCATTTGGTAGAAACATATTTCAATTTAAGAATATTTCACATGTAAATGAATGAATTAAATGCAAATTATCATATTTATATTTTAAATATCTGTAAAAAAAATATAAACAATGTTAATATCTTTCTATGAAAAAATGTATTTTTTAACTTTTTGCAATTTTAATGTGAGCAAGACTTTGTTGTTACGTATATTTTTGGTGTCTCAGCCTCCTTGGAGCTGACGAGGTGAAATAAAATAAAATAAATACATTTACGCGTTGTCCTTCCTATGAACTGTGGCCAGGCAAACCTGTTGCCTACCTAAACCGCACATGTATGCCATACAATTCCAGGTTTTGGCACAATGCCAACATTATTAAGCACTATGTTTTGTCCCCAGATATATTTAGATTATCGCAGGGGCTATGTTATTATGCAATATCTAACTCAAATGTGTAAGTGAATTGGCGTAACTTTGCTTTCTGTCTGCATTAGCCTTATTAGGAGTGGCTCAGTGTTATGTATTTGCCAATGAGAAGGACAATGTATACTACATTACTGTCATATAGAAATTCAACCATGAATACATAAGCATTTAAAACAGAAACGACATGTTTTTATTTATTTAAGGGACGATTTTTACAAATTAGGCTCAATGTTACTTGCTAAAAATCGGTATCAGGATTTTAATTGAATTCGTGATGTGAAAAAAGGCTCGACTGGCGACTATCGATGGACGGGCTCGAATGCGCATAACTAGGTCATGGGGTCGTGTTGATAAATGGGAACGGTTCTTTATGTTAATTAGATCTAGCATATTCGCCGTACCAACGAGTCAGCCAATCAGGGCCCCCTTGAAAGATGTCAGCGGGTTAACATTCCAGTCACAGCCAGTCAGAAACGATGACGTCATTAAACGATGCAATCTGAGGGGTTGACACGCCCATCTAGGCTCTGCCCCGCATTGCACGTAGTGCGACAAAAACAACATCCACCCGACAATAACAAGCATTGCTGGGTGAACTTTTGAGTGAACTTCTAATCGAACTGGCGGAAATTCAACGTCGAAATCCCACCAGTCACTATGCCTTACTCGAAAGGAGAGCGAACCAAGCTGAAAAACCAGCAGTTTCGTGAGCAGCAAAAACAACAGTACGAAGATGAGAAGGTCGACGACAACACTGAACAGAATGTGACTAACGATATAGAATGTTGTGTACCGACTGTATGCTTGATGAACGGCGAGCCTGTTAATATACACGACCCAGATGAAGTGGCTAAAGTGGTCTGTAACAACCCAGGGTGCGATATCGGAAACTACATGCACAAATGCTGTTTTGCTGCCTGGGAAGACGAGGTGCTGACTTACCTACGCTCATCGGGTCGGGCCCGAAGTTGGTCTGAAAAGCAGCGTCGCCAAAACCTGTGGACAAAGAAGGGATTCGACTTAGCATGGAAGGCATGCTCTTGCAAGTGCAGTAAGGGGCATTTGCGCAAAGACCTGGATTGGATACCACCGAAAATACCTGACGGCCAACGCAAAGTGCGACGCAAAAAGAAGTCTGGCGATCGTCCCACTATTGGTATGCTTGGAAGCAGTGTCAAAAAATCACAACCTCTTGTGGGAGGTTTGGGGGCAAGGTTTCAACGACAGGGCTCGACATCCTCGACTGAAAACTACAGTCCACCCAGCAGCGGCGATACTATGCGTCGCAAAACAAGCAATGTAACATTTGAATTCCCACCTCCCATCGGTAACTTCAACAACGAGTTGCGTAACGGTTACCATCTGGGAAGCCAGTCTAATATACGCGGGCGGAGTTCATCATCGTCCCCAACCGATGAGAACGTATCTGGTATACGCTCTTTTACGAGCCCAGGCAGCACGAATGCCAAGCATATCGGAATATTGAATAACAACAGCAAGCATAGCCCAGGAGTACACTTTCTCCGCCGTCTGGATTTCACTTCGTTTCAGAGTGCCCTGCCTAAGCACAAGTTTAATGCATACCATATACGCATGGAAGAAGATGTAAACGACGATATACGGGCGTTTATTTTATCCACGTTAAGCACGTACGAGACAACATACATCATTTGTACACTGTGTGGCCAACAGTTACCTGTGTTTGATAAATACCCCTTAATTGACGGGACATTTTTTCTAACCCCACAGCGACACACTGATGGTTGCCTGCAGGTGTTTTTCGATAACAAGCCTTTGCACCTGAGCGCCGTATGTGTCAATTGTTTAGAAGGCGCTCAAATTATTATATGTCGTGGTTGTAAGACCCGTTGGGATGGAAGTCATCATCAACTGGGCACAATGTATAAATACGACATATTCGCGGCTCGGCCGTGCTGCTCTAGTCGCTTGGCTTGTAAACACTGCGGTCAGCCAGTCATTGATATACGACAAGCAACCAACTATTACAGCGACTACTCACAAAATATACAATGCCCTCATTGCTCGGTTTCCGACTTTCACTTCGTGAAACCACTTAGCAGCTACGAGCTTATACAACACCCTTAGTCGCAGAACTCACTCATTAATAACATTATCATATTTGAGTCTATTTAAAATTGTATTTGCATACACTGTATTATGATAAACGTATGTATCTAGCACGTTCTCTGTTGACAATATGCTTTGCGTAGTTGCACATCGTATACGTAGTGAAACCATGTTTATTGGCGAAAGTTATATTAGTTTGTAATTCATTTTCATGTAAATCCCGTAACAGCTTGTAATTTTTCGAATGCAAGTTCCGTAAAAGTAAAACGGGCATTATTAAATTTTGTATATTTGCACAGTGTAGAAGTTCCGATTTAACGTTCATATTTTTTGTACCGTGCACTGATGTTGACTGTACAAGGTAGTAGAAGTTACCTTCAAAAGGTGGACCGGTTTCTGGCACAATTGTACAATCCAAAAGATTTTTCTGGTTATAATAAGATTGTATTATGTGAGTGGGAGATAAAGTACACTTTGACTTGAACCAACCTTCAGTGTTTTTTTTTGGAAGTGGGTTCTTCATCGACGAAGAAAGTTTACGTTTTTAGCTGCAATGTTTGAGGAGACGAAATATGTATTTTTACTCTGACATGGATGTAGGGCGAGAGGTCATTGTCTTGTCCCTGCGTGACCTGTTTCTGACTCCCCGTGTGAGGTTATGGCTTTTTGTGTAGAATGTAGTGATCATTAAAAAACAAACTCTATCAGGAAAATAATATATCCAGCGTCTAAAATTAATAACATCCAGAGTGAAATAATGTGTGGTTGTAGTCGCGGTGTTTGGTTTGACTCCTGATCTGCGAATCGCACGGTTTTTGTTAACTCGTAAACACGATCCTCCCACAGTGATTGCTACCGATAATTCACTCTTAGCGTCTATTTGCATGAAAACGCCGTGATCTACCACCTGGAATATAAACGTCATGGGAACTTGTACACTTAGCAATGTTATTAACTTATAGTTAGAATTTGTTTTGATAATTCAACATTTTTACAATACTGTATTAACATTATTTGTGATTTCTAACAATTACTATTTCTGGAAAGTTGTTACCATTAATTCACTGTGATTCTATCTGTCTGTATTTTTACTTTAAAAATGGATCGTACTGATTGGTCAGAAATTTCAAAAAACAAAACAAAAAACAATTAATAGATTAGTTTGTAACTCCCTTTTTCAACAGAATTTTCGGAACATTGAATTGTGTCGTTTTCTGTGACCGGTTTCTGGCGTACTCGTGTACGCATATTTTCACTTTGGCTTTTTTTGCCAATGGAATGAATCAGACTGCTGAAAATAACTTTAAAATTAAAATTCACACAAAACAGCTATACTGTTTTTCAGCAAAACAATTCCAGGTAAAAAATAAAGTATTCCACAAAAGTTGTATGATACGATGAGCCAAAAACGATGTTTTTGCAACACTCGTATTCATAATAATATTCATCATGATTGAAGGCTAAATCGACCGATTGTCTAAAACTTGTTTGGTTCGCACACGCGTATTTTTTTTTTTTCAACTGATATATATATGTTGCTTAAACCACGTTTATATAGCTCACGATAACTCATAATTCAACGGGCTTGTCAAAATACAATATAAATCACAACAATTGAAAACTAAAAATCACATGTTCTCATTCATAATGCATCTTTTATAAATAAGAAAATCAATTATAAATATGCGTATAATTGTAATCAACTATTATACTGAAAAGGGATTGTTCCCAACTTGTTTTGATCTCCGCCGGTCTTCGCGAAGTTGGCTATTCAATAAACAGAGTTATGTTTAGTTGTTATTTGATAGCTTTACCATACACAGTGTGCTGTGGTATTCCAGTTCGAGAGGCCAGTTATTTAAAAAACAATATGTTATTTTTACCACGTATACCACTGTCGTTGATGAAAACGAAAAACTCATCACGGACGACGTGTCGAGTGGTGTTTCCTACGTTGCGTTTATGCTACCTTGGAGATACCGTTACGATGGTGACAATTTTGGCAGAAAGATGTGCAGTTGACCTTGTGAATCAACTCCGATTGTACCACAGTTTAACAGATTTTTGGTTGAACAACTTTTAATGTAATTTGTTTGAATCGAATCTTGTATCACTTCGCCGCATGCATTTAATAAACAACTTGGAGAAAAACCGGCTGAATAGTTCCATTATTTGAGTAACGGTTTGTTTGTTTGTGGTTTGGGACACGTCACATGGACGACTACCAGTGTTGTGAAAGTAATGTAGGCATATTTTGGATGGATTTCTCTCTCAATACGATTGAATTTAAACACCCCAGAACGATATTACACACGTAATGTGGATGGAGCATGGATCACTATGACCGCGCGTGTATATAGACCCTGGAGCGAATATCAGAACTGTGTCAGCTTTAGATTTGTGGTAATCTACATAACAATACGTTCCACTGCGGACTGCTGCGCTCGAAAACAGGAAACACAGCCCCCCCCCCCCGTGTAATTATTGGCAGCATGATTCAAGCCCGAATTATGTCGATTTCAATATTCTCAGGAGCAAACATGTGCGGAGATTGTAATTGCAGTCGATTTATACAGCATGAACAACTTTGAAATTGTTATATTATGTGTCTGCAAATTTGTCTCGATGTACAAGTTTAAAACAATAATTTTGCTAAAATTTCAGCCGCCTCTATGCAAGAATAGATGTGTTTTAGCTAAGCATGAATACAAGTCAGCTAACCTAGATAAACATACTGTACATACTACTACTCGAGGGATGAATAACCTCAGTCAGTCTAACACAATTTTCCACACGAAAATTACCATAAATGAATAATTAATTATCGTGATTCCAATTAAGAGGAGTTATCAGTTAACACGTAACAGTTATACTGGCGCAGTACCGTAATACATATACGTCTAAGTTGCGCGTGAACAGTGTTAAAATGATGACGTATTTAGTGAATCAGCGTCTGCCCCGAGTCAGCGCCCGGACCTAACTTATAAACAGTAATACGTGTGCGTGTATCAAAAACAGAAACACACATTAGATATGATATAACGCAAATAGGTTCGTTAGATTTGTCCAAATTTGTTAAATTTATTAGTATAAATTGAAATACCGGGAAAACCCAATCCCTGTCCTAGCATTTAAATTAAGCTACGGAACCCATTACCCCTCTAAATTCATTATTTATTTGTAGTACAAGGTCATCAACACAAAATATACCACAAATTGATTATATACATTTTGCATAGCTACAACAATACATTATTATTTATGTAATTTCTCAATTTAAGTGAATGAAATTATTGTGTATATACACGCATTGTTTACATACACGATTATATGTCACAATAGAAACTTTAAAAACAGCTGAAAAAAAACGATTCCAGGTAGACGCTATCACATTAATATTGTTCACATTCACAGTGCAACGCAGCATACGATTCATCCTATTTGTATATCACGTGACACATGGTTCATTAGGTCGTTGCCGGGTCACCAGTACTTCGTAATCGCTGTTATAAATCATACCATGAGGCACGTACACAGTCGTTTCCTAAATCCGGTCATAACAAGGTACTAGAAGCTGTTAGGTTGGGTGTTGAGCAGTCGGAGCTGACCGTCAAAGACAACAGTATATTAAAGCGGGGGAGTCGTCAACTGCGTCAGATGGCCATACCGTGCCATTGTTTACAAATAAGCGTCTACCCATGAGGCTTTGCGTTTTTAGCGTGTGTTGTTGAACGTCGTTTGGGACTCAATTCTCGCTTCTCTCTCTCCCGCTTTAAACTAATTCACACACATAAATTCATCTTGCTCCTTTGACTTCTATCTTTTTATATGTCTTTGTGAGTCTACACTTTATCGTAAAGTGAAATGAAAATCTGAATGAGGACATGTGTTCAATGTGATATTTATTATGGGGGGGGGGGCATTGGAAGGGTGTGTCCAATGCATTTTTTGCGGTGTTCTGTCTGTACATTTTTAGTTTTCTTGAAAAAACCCCACCTGGCATGCATTTTTTTCCCAATTTGCTCAAAAGATCTTCTAGCTACACCATGCTCATCCCTCTTATATGCCAAGGATGTATGTGTATGTGTTGGGGGAGGGGGAATCCAGTATTATTCCTAGTTGTGAGTTGACAATACATTCTCATCTGTGTGAGTTGCCAATACATTCTCATATGTGTGAGTTGACAATACATTCTCATCTGTGTGAGTTGTCAATACATTCTCATCTGTGTGAGTTGGCAATACATTCTCATATGTGTGAGTTGACAATACATTCTCATATGTGTGAATTATATATTATATAATCTCTGGTTCTCATCAAATTTCCATTGATTTCATAAATTCTTTTGTTTTTATAAAACTTTTTCCTCGAGAGTGTCGCCATAGAAACATGGCAAATTCCCCCAAATTCCAAAATAGCATAAATACGGATAGAATGGAGCCGTTTTACAAAATATAGCGAAAATGTATACCCGTACAAACTAGTGTTCGGTTTGGACTAATACACTAAATAGCATTTTCTCCGTCGATAGATTTTGTTTTTTTAATACTGAATGCCGATAAACAAATTCGTCGATATAGTTATGGCATGGAAGTACCTACCTCAAATAGCCAACCCTCAAATGTCTCACACCCTATTTTGGGTAGTACATAACTCATTTAATGACATAGTCTGAAAATCGACCGATTATTTGTAATTGAATAATATTATTTATTGAACTAGTGTTCTGATTGGTATTTTGATAAATTACAATAAGGAAGGAACAACAAAGCAAAATGAACAGTTTGGAATGAAAATGTTTTCTTTTTTTCCCTTTTATTTGTGTCTGACTAGAGAATGCTCCTCGTTTTGTTATTCAGTTGCATTGCGTATAAAACGTGCTCCACTCTTTGCGCCAATGTTTTGGTGTCTCCCAACTTCTCCCTATTAAAGCGCATGCGCACTCTTAAGTTTTGTCATAGTTGACTTTTTGTTGCCCCTCTTTATTTTCATCATTTATTCATTCTTCCTTTACAAACATTGATAAATCAAGGTTTGTTAGTGCTTATAAAACTGGTGTCGTAATTGTATCATTTTTCTTAAAACTGTTTTGGACCCACACATGCACCAAATCAAGTTTGTATAAATGCTTATCCTATGAAATCATATCTATGCTGATTACACCGCGCATAATCAAACCGGTAACATCTGCATGTAAGGGATTATTTCATCGTGTTCACATCTGTTTGTGTCCTTTCACGCGCCGACGTAACTTACAACGTCGATGTTTCGGTATCTCCCTAATTCTAGGGAGTAAGCAATAGACATAAATATATAGTCAACTGAGTGCATATCTTAATTAAGCGCCATTGTACGCATTTTCCAGTAACCGCCATATTTACGGCTCTTGTAAGAATTACTGGTGTGAACACAAGTTCATGAGATCTTTATCTTTTTAATTACCTTTCACAACACACGCCGACGCAATTAGTGAGGACACGGTATTTGT